GGGGGGAGGGGGGGGGGGGGGGGGGGCGCCCGCGTTCATTTTCGCACAGTCATGTATGCATTGATGTGTGCGATGCTGCTGAAGCTGCTGGGTCGCGTGATCGGGGAAGACTCCCACAGTGAAACACACCAAGGCGGCACACGACAGCGACTCGAGGAAAGCAGCACGTCAACAACCGAGACTAGCCGCATGATAGCGAGTTGTATGAAATGCCTAAAGGCATAAAGCTCAGGGAGCAGGGAGGCCTTTGGAGTTTCAGTTCAGGAGACAGTTTGCATGCGGTACGAACTTTTCCTGGAGTTTGATGCCATGTGTGTTACGTGCTCATGCTTTTGCTTTCATTGCCTTCCTAGCAGCGAGTTCTGTTATTACTTCAATAGTTTTTCTTCTTCGAATATTTTGCTGCTGTTGCATCGAAAATCATGGGGTGGGATGTCATGAATGACCATGATTCTGGAGGGCATGATGAGCAGCAATCGAACATGTTTTGTTTTCTGGTCTTGCCTATTTTTGTGTTTTAGGTAAAAGTCAAAGCAGGGGGGCTGTTGGCATCGAGATTATAGCTTGGGGTAATTTTTGGGATGTGACAGCAGGGGGGGTGTTTGTATGGATGGTTGCTTATGTTTTCTATCGTTTTTTGCACAACAGGGACGGCACCGATTCGCGGGTGCGCGCCGTTTAGGATTTGGTCCTTGGACACTATATTGTATTGGAGGAAGGATTTGACATGGTTTGACGAGTAATGGTTGGGGTCACGGTACTTTCCGAATGCCTGTTTTTGATTGGTCAAGAAGTCGAAACTTTGGTCGAAGATGTGTCAACTCTTTGACATTGTTGTTTCCCGGAAATGTATGCTTTCGTTCCGACGCTGTTCTGATGTAGCACACAGAACTTGTTGGGTACTATTCTGAGGATGATTCTATTGTGTCGACGGTTTGAGATCATTTTCCAGAGAGACGAACGCGTTGGATTCGTGAACAAACTGATGGAGACGGTTTGAGTTGAATGCGTAGCCAGTTTTATTGAATTTAAGTTTTCTCAAAGGGTATTTTTCTCTAGTCAGTCTACCATTCGTAAAGGATTGATTGCAAGATCGTACATCGTATAAAGTACGGGGGCTATTCGTGGTACTTGGATATGAGTCCGATCTGTGCGTTCTCTGTGGGGGATACGCGTACAGGAAGTATGTGTGTGATGGGCATGTATGCGGTTGGGGTCCAAGTGCGGGCCCCCCGGGAGAGCACATGCCGGTGTGCTCCGGCCACTTGCCTGTGGGGTGAGCAATATTGTTCTGTGTAACATACATACATGATGGCGACGCACTTTCCTGGGATAACTTAGTCCCCAGTGCTCAACTCCCACCGTTGAGGGCGGCAGCGCAACTAACACGATTTAGATATATTGTTATGTCTAGCGAGGGTTGCTAGGCAAGAACGATACATCTATCGTGTTCGTGGCGCTAACAC